CCCGCCATCAACATACCCGCCATCAACATACCCGCCATCAATATCGACATTCCACTATGCTTTGCGTGCGTAAGAGCTCCTCGATCAAGTGTCACTCCAAAGCTTCTTAGCAACAGTAAGCGGAATTCGCACGCCCGCCAAGCACTAAATCTACTCCTCACCTGCACGGAGCACAACCTTCTCCGCACCAAAACGACGATCAAAAACACGAACCTTGGAACGGTCACGTACGTACCATACATACTTCCTCACCATTGCGGCCAAGCCTTCCAGACGCAAAATAATAGCTTCTCAGGGGGCTGATGGTGAGCCTAGTATCTTGCCATAGTCGAGCCACGAGCCATAGTCGTCGTTTCGACATTGTTTGACCATCCCACTCAGACGAACCTCTCGGCGGTGAAACTCAAGACGTGCCAAGACGGCTGCATAAGGCTCTGCGCATTCTCACGAGGCAGTATGCATCGGAGGGTCGGTCGTATACCAAATCAGGCCCTCGGAAAATATCAAATGAGCCCAATAAGAGAGTCGGAGAATACTTGTCTTACGGAACACCCTCCACTCCTTCTTCCCATCCAGTCCGTTAAGAGTCCTATTAGATCGCCCATAACCCATCTTACCAACCAAACCAAACGCGAATGATCGCCGCCGAGACAATTGCCTACCCCTTGGCAGGCGGTCACTTTGCCCACCCCCAAGATAGGAACCCCTACTAGGGATGGATGCACGCACCGCACCCTTGTGCGAGGTCATTTGGGTAATTAGTAGCCTTCTTTCTACGCCGTCTTTGCTTGGCTCGCTTGGCCGTGGGCATCAGCGTACAGATTATGTTAGATATATATGACAAGGCGGAGGAGGGATAGAGTAGAAGAGGGTTGTCTACTTCGGAGTAGAGTAGCGTCGTACTATTAATGTGCTTGGGTCGTTCTCTGTTAGTACCGTAGGGCGATGTAGTGCTACTAGTGTAGTAGGATACTCTTAAGGGACACCTAAAAGCTAAGTAGATACCCTATAAGACTTACGAAGTGTCTTCTATAATCATAGTACTAAAAACCTCGCGCTCTATCTAATACCCTAACGAGGTCGAAGCCGTCTTCCAATATTATATATAAATCTTACTACTTTAACTCTAGTATATATAGTCTTACATCTACTATATAAGAACCAGGTATTTCCGCTAGTAGTACTTACCTACCTACCAGGCGGAATTCCGCTGCCCGCTGGTAGTGGTCGACATGCCACTACCAGTATCAACACTCATGCGCGCTCAAGAAAAGGAAGTCATGAACAACAATGAACAACAATGAACAACAATGAACAACAATGAACAACAATGAACAACAATGAA